ACTCCCGGGTGCGCGCGCGCGCGTGCCCGCCGCCCCGCGCCGCCCGCTCCCACGCCCCGCGGGCCGCGCACGCGCACTCCGCCCCGCCTGGCCGCCTCTGCTCCTTGGTGTGACGCCAGCCTCACACCCAGCTCTGGGCAGGCTCTGGCGGAGAGCGCCGAGCAAGACCTAGCCTGCTCCCGGGCCGCGCGAGCTGGACTCCCCCTGCTCGCTGCTCGCAGCCCGACTCGCCGGCTCTCGTCTTCGTGTCCCGGGCCGGCCCCGAAGACGGAGCGTGGGGCACATACGCTCGCCGGAACTCACGGCACGCGCCCCTGCGCAGCCCCGAGCTGCTGGCCACTCTCCCCTGGCCGAGCTCGCCCGGACCTCGGAGCCGCCCAGCCCCAGTCTTCCTCCTCTCCGGGTGTGGGCGCTGCTTCTTGTTTCACAACCCTCCTAGTAGCCCTGGAGGTCCCCTCCCCGGGCGGGGGAGGGCGGGAGGGAGGAGGAGGCTGTGACTAGGTCCTGGCCCCCAAGGAGTTCCTTCCCTCTGGCTCCCCCTGTCCTGACTTCTTGCAGAAGCGTCCTCATCCGTTCTTCTTACTTTTGTTGGCTAATGTTTCCATCCTCCGCTCAGGGTTAGGCAAACAAGTTCCGTACATGATGAGTAGTTTAAAACCTGAAGAGCAAAACCACGAAGGGGAAAGGGGGACGGACACAGGATGTGGCAGGCCGGGCCCTAGTGTGAGTAGTTAGATCCATCCATGACACTACCAGCAGTGTTGAGAACCTGGCTTATGTTTCCATCTTTGTGTAGACCTCTGCCCTGTTTGGGTTCAGTTCTTGAACAGTGGGTTAGAAATGTAGCTCTGAGCTTCATCCCGAAGCAAAAGTACTTGGACTAAAGACCTTGATCAAAGTAATAACGGTGCACACCCTGCCCATTCCCTGGGTGATATTCTTTGACCTAAGCCAAAAAGCAGTAACGGCTATTACATTATTCCACTTCTTCAAATCTTCTACCCTTGCCATCTCCTTCTAAATAGCCAGGGTGACAGTAATATAATTTGGGATAAAAATCACCACGGTCTATGATGCTGTGACAGTGTGTCCTTATTTCATGATTATGTTTCTAATAAGGAGACAACCGCTCCCACCAGATAGGGTACCAGCAACAAAGGATTCCACCAAAGTCGGTCTAAAACCAAAAGGTTTACTGAGCTTGCTGTAAAGAGGTTACTTCCTGTCCAGGGAAGATCTCAGAGCAACCACACCTGGAAATTTCACTGCGGCATGGATGGCGTCCTCATTCTTCTGTTATTCTTCCATAGTCTGTGTGCTCTAGCACCTACTGAGAGCGGTCTGAGAGGTACAGCAGGGAGTAGCTGGAATCTCAAGTGAGGGTTCAATGACTTTCCTCCTCACCCCTTCCTTCCATGAAGGAGCCTCCACAGTCAGCAGACCCTGTCTTGAGTCCCAAGTAGTCAGAGCTTTTTTGGAACACGATAGCTGTTGTGCTCAAAGAATAGCACTCAACAAACATCCTTTAGTTTATAACTTTTCTGTGTGTGTATTGTGTGAGTGTGTGTGTGTGTGTGTGTGTGTGTGTGTACGTGAGAGAGAGAAACATCTTTACAACATCATCAATTCCTTAAAACCAGAAAGCATACCCCGTCTTTTCATTGATCGAGGAGCTGGAAATTATACAGTAAGTGTTATAATAAAATGTGTTCGAGTTGTGACGGTAATGGTTTGAATGTCAACCTAGACACCCTGAGGCTATCAAAGGAACTGGTTGAGCCTAGCCTACCCACTGCTGATACGGATAGAAAACAATCGTTGCCCACCAGACTTTGAGCAATAGGGACGCTGTGTATCGGAGAGCAGCTGCTTGGCTGAAAAAGGCTGTCAGCTGTCCCTGGAAGCAACTAACCCTGTAAAGCTGAAGAGCGACTGGAAAGGACTGTGCCTAACCTGGAGAGGTGGGGACCCAGCGGTGCACTTGCACCGTGCTGGGAGCTAGTAGGACAATATACCCATCTTTACTAGGACAATATACCGGTCGATTTGTACAGAAAGTGGAATGGGCTAAATGTCGGGTGGATGAGAAGCCACGTGGGTGGTAATCGAGATGGGGCGTAGGGCTGGGATTGGGGCTATCCTGGAAGAAAAACACCAACCCATAGCAACGTTTTCAGATTCTATAGCTTCTCTCTGAGATAACCTGAAACTCCAAGTCCAGCACCCGAAGTCCTCAGAAGTTCTCTTTCCATCAATGCAAGCATTTTTTTATCCACACTTTGTGCTCAGCCTGGGAGAGGAGGGGCTGCTGCACGTTAGACATTTTGAACACAGGTAGCACACATTAACGATATTAACTAGATGGGTCTCCACACAGGCCCTGGGGAAGATGTTGTCATGCCCGGTTTAGATGAGGGAACAGGAGAAGAGGCACAAGGGGCAGGCGTCCTGTAGTTCCATACCTGGTCTTTCCTTACCTTTCCATCAGACTCGGTTCTTCTGACCTTATAGATGAGGAATGCGGAGCTTGGTTACAAGCTCGGAGAAGGGGCTATCTAGGTCAGAAATCTAGCTACCCCAAGGCTAGTGGAATAGTCACAGCCTTCTCAACTCGTGACTAGTCTCTCTCCTCCCAGGCTCCGTCTCAACCACACATCTGCTTTCTTTTCCCTCCTGACATTACATCTGCCTCTGATCCTGTCTAAAACCTTAATGTGCATACAGTGATATATTTGTTGTTGCCTTTCATGGAACAAATTTCTTGTTTCATTTAGGTGAGGCATACAGTGTCATGGAGACATAGAGCTGTCTCAGGTTCACCAGCTGAAGGTTCTTGAGTGCCGAGCAACACATGACCTGTCCTTTGGTAGGACAAGGTGCAGTTTTCTTTTCAAATGGACCTACGGGATTCCATAGAAGACCAAAGCCCATGAGAAGGTCAGGATAAGTCAAATGTCCATCTCTTAGCTTCTGTTAGCGCTGAAATGATCTGTTTATGTGGCTGTCTTTTGGGTTACTACAAACTCTTTCATAGACAAAATGAGAGATCTTCTGGGTCATTCACTGCCAGTCTCATTGCCCAACACAAAGTTACTCAAAAAAGAGTATGAAGGAGATGAAGGAGTGTTCATAAACATCTGTGGACTGATTCTTGCACTAAGCTTGAATCCCACCTGACCGTAGACCTTACTGAGTTCCTGCATTTGTCTCATCAGTCATTTGTTATCAGCTCTGGACAGTTTTGAAATGTGACCTCTCTCTTCTTAGTCTTCATGCTTCTGATTACTAATGTGTGCTTGGTATGTGTGAGTGACGCATGTTTATGCATGTACGGGTGCAAGAGTACATGTTTGTGCCTACAAGTAGAACCAAAGAACAACTTCGGGTATGATTTCTCAGAAAGTGTCTACCTTGTTGTTGTTGTTTTTAAACAGTTTATGGATGAGGTATCTTGCCAAACATTGATTACTTTTCAAATCAAGATTACTATATTTTTAATACTTCTGGCCCGGAACTTGCCACATATGCTAGGCTGACTAGTCGGAGAACTCCATGTTTTTCCCTGTCTCTTCCTCAGGGCGAGAATTTCAAGACACCATCCAAAGGTCCTTGGGCTCACAGATAATCGACAGGAAAACTGGGAATGTTAAACGTGCAGGGTTGTCTCTTCAAAGGAATCTATAATATGCTTCTCACCCAGAAGGCTGGGAATGGAGGTGGCTAGCAGCCCAAGTGAGCCCTGCATTATCTGTAGGGGTAGGCCATACCTGGCTCCACCAAGTTCCCCCAGGCAGGACCGGAGGTAGCTAATAGTCCACATACCTCTGCACTAACTGTATGATTGAAACCACACCAGATCCTCCCGTAGGCCATTAAAGTAACACAGGTAGCCTATCTGTAAAACCCATCTTCCAGGAAGAAGTGACTTATACTTTGAGAAGGATTTCAGTGTAATTATGCCCCATTTTACACACAGATCTGTGTTACATCAGGAAACTTTTTCAAAATTGTACTGTACATAAATATGCCTAAAATAAACTGCCCAGTGTCAGGCTCTTGAAGTTTGAACCAACACTGGCTACTGAGTCATGCTGAACCTGACTTACTTCTTGTTCACAGGGATGATTACTCTGCTAGCCCTGATGTTTGAGAAAGACTATATATGTGACTTATTATGGTGGCTGATAGTCCATGATCCAGGCATCCTAACAATGACAGTCTCCCAATAGATAGGCCAAACTTCTAGTAGTACAGGAGAGTGGATTTTGCAGCAGCCTCAGTCAGGCGCTGGAGTCCCAGGGAGGTCCTAGAGAGATGCCGGCCTTCTGTCTGCATTGGAATCCTGAAGAAGTAGATTCTAACGCCAGTGGGGAATGCCTCAGCAGCATATGTTAACTTACCTTTGAGAGTGGAGCAAGCATGCAGAAAGCAAACACATCCTTCTTCTGTGTTCTTTCATGAGGGCTGCCACCAGAAGATGTTGCCAAGGTTTAGGGCGGCTCTTCACATCTCAAATAGTGAAATAAAGAAAATCCCTGAGGGCATTCCTAGATGCTTGGGTTTTAGCTGATTCCAGATGTAGTCAAGTT